GTTTCCTGTTCTGATTTATTCATGTTGCTAATTCACTACTCCTTGGAATTTTCTTAACACTTTATTTGCTAAGATGACAGCTGCATTAATCATTTTTAATGGATATTTGTTCCCTTATAATAAAACTGCCACTTAGTTGTGCAAACAAATTTGTTGAGAGTTCAGATTTTCGCCATCCAGCATTGGTAAATCTATCGGTTTATTGGGAGCGGTTTTATTATTTTTCTGTTTTTCTTTCCAAAATTTCCATATTGTAAAGATCTTAAGTGTTTAAGCTTCATTGTAGTAGAAACTTATTTCTTATCGTGCATAAGATTAGTAAATTCGACTGCGAAAGATATCCAGACTGAAGCTTTTGAAACAGCGGTTATTTATTTTGTTTTCTGAACTTTTTCGAATTTCAAGAAACACTGCAAGCTTAATAGCTCTATACCATAGAACCGAATATATTTTATAGTTAAATTGTGAATTGAGACCATATTCTGTTAATTTAATTTCGAGTTCCTGTTAATAGGATAGTGCAGTGTCTGTATTTCAGTATGCTTAGTCCATGTCAGTCTTCCGATAAGATATTAACATTTCGTTCAATAATGTGTGTGACTGACACATAGATGGCGGCACTAATATTAAATAAATATTCTTTTTCGAAAGTGACAACCTTTTTAGGCTTACTGTCAAAATCATATGTTAATCCGACCATTTGTTTACAAGTTACAGTGCTTTAAGTGACGCTACTTTTGAGTTTTCAAAACAAAAATGAATTCAAAGCAATTCCGTGTGCTGATTTATCATTGTTTAATGAAAAAAAATACTGTTCAATGCCAGGAATGGCTTGAAAAACATTATTCTAACTCTGCTCCATCAAAAAGAAGCATTTGTTATTGGTATGCCGAATTCAAACGTGGTCGTACAGACACCGATGACATTCCATCTACTGGACGGCCAAATGACGCTGTTATTCCGAAAAACGTTGAAAAAACACTGAAAATTATTATGTCCGACCGTAAAGTGAAAGTGAGGGAGATTGCTGACATTCTACAGATATCAGCAGGCAGTGTACACACCATAATACACGAACATTTGGGTATGAAAACGGTGTTTTCCAAATGGGTGCAATTCCAATACCGGTTGTACCAGTCACAGTACACCGGCGTCTAATCCAATCCGAACCACATCCAAAACTAACGGCAGCATTCCGTCTACCAGTCAAAGTAGGCCGAATGTCAACCGCGCGCCAACGCTTAAAACTGTTAGTCTAAGCGGTAAGGGCAAGGTTAAATCACGCAAAAAAACGGCCAATATGGCACGAAAAAATCGATACCAACGGGTATTTTATATGCTCAGGAAAATTGAGAGCAATAAAAAAGAAGGCAATGTCCATGAACGAGACGAAGCCGATGCTGTTAAATACCGCGCTATTGTGGAAGAGTATGTTCATGATGAGGGTCTGTGCCAGTCCGTTATTAGCGGCAAGAACGTCGGAGATGGCGGCAAGCGTGACAGATCTCAGAAAGATCCGGGCATGGAGGCGAAACGGCACAAAGATGGAACGAGGGATGCGAAGCTAATGTCAATACCCGCACAAGCTGCTTGTCCCTTCAGTGAAGTGGCAAAAGACCATCTCAGTGTGGTTTTGATTGACGAACATAATTCTAACTGCAAGATGCTGATGAAGAGGTGGGCGCTGATTGAGACCACACTGTCTGCATGGATTATGGCTGAGCTCATGACCAATCCGGGGTCCGTTCCTTCTCAGCAAAGCGATCACAAAGATTAGTGAGAACTGTGACGGTTTAAAGCTGAAACTTGTCCCTGCGGCGGAAATTCCATTGTAGGAATTCCATTGTTGAAATTCCATTGTAGGAATTTCCATTCCATTCCATTGTAAAAGAACAGGGTAAACCTAGATCGTGCATTTTAGCAAAAACGCACCTTAATGCTTTTCTCTGCTCTCATTCAAGCTCTTTAGATATCACCACCATCCGGGTAGAGCGGAAGCAAAAGTCTGCGGTTTTAATAACATCTGCCTACATGCCACACGATGATGAGTCACCTCCAGAGGGAGTATTACTAGTTCAAAATTTCGCGCAGACCGAGAAGCTAGCCTTGCTGATGGGTTGTGACGCAAATGCACGGCACTACTTGTGGGGAAGCTCGGAAATCAACGATAGAGGTGAGTCTCTTTTTGAGTTTATATTAAGATGTAGTCTAGAAATATGTAATAAGGGTAATACTCCCACCTTCATTTTTCCGAGTACGGATGATCATGTAGGCTGGGAAGAGGTTTTAGATATTGCCCTTTGCTCGACTTCCGGCTCATTAGCGCTCAATGATTGGAGAGTTTCAGCCAGGAACTCCTTCTCTAATCATAGATACATCATGTTTGTAATGGATATTTCCATTGTAGCTAAGCAATCTCAACGTAGTCCCAGGAAGGCAAACTGGAATACTTCCAAATCATTGCTCAATAGTAAAATCAACATAATCACCGCTCCAATTAACTCGATTAGGGAATTAGAGTGTAGGGTCAACTCTTTTACATATAGTATTATTTCTTCCTTTGAAGCATCGTGTCCTCGCTCGTATGCGAAGAAATGTAGGCCACCATGGTGGAACGAGAAGCTCTTTTAGCTCTGCAGGAATGCACGAAAAGCTTTCAACAAAAGCTATCGTACCAAGGTTTGGACTCCATATAAGGATGCTCTTAGGGTTTACAAAAAAGCACTTCGAAAATTCAAGAAGTTGTTATGGAATTATGACTGCCAGCAAATTGAAAGTATTAAAGAATCGGCTATATTAGCCAAACTGCTAGCAAATGGCCAGTCTTGTCCCTCCCTCATTAGCAAAGTAGATGGAAGTCCAGTTAAATCACTAACGGAATTCCTCTCACTATTAGTAGATACCTATTTTCCCGGTTTCTCGGGTGATCCCCCAAAGGTATTACCGTATCGTTCAGCCAACTCTGGGGAGACCATACAGGGTGCGGTATATTCAGAAGGATTAAATGGGCTTTCGATTCCTTCTCTCCATACAAAAGTCCGGGTCCTGACGGGGTCTTACCAATCATGTTACAGTCTCTGGGATATGTAGCTGTAAATTGGCTGTCCACGATTTTCTGCAGCTGCCTTTCACTTGATCATGTCCCCAGCAGTTGAAGACAAGTTAGAGTAGTTTTTATTCCAAAGGCAGTTAGAACAGTTTACAGTACGGCAAAAGATTATAGACCCATCAGCCTTACTTCATTCATTCTTCATTCCCGATGGATCGCATCAATGCTTGGGTTCAGAATCATCAATGCAGAGATGGGCAATCTAAACATTAAGAAATATGTCAGGAGGGTAACATCACAAGGGGGAGTGTTATCTCCCTTATTATGGATTTTAACAATGAACTCACTGCTTTTAAGGCTTAATCAGGGTAAAGTCAAAGCAGTGACGTATGCGGATTATGTTGTCCTTTTGGTAGCAGGTATGTTCCCTTCGGTGCTGAGTAACATCATAGAGGGCGCTTTTCAGAGCCTTAGTATATATATGGGTCTCAAAGTGTGATGTAGATGTTAACCCTTCTAAGACAGAACTGTTACTGTTTACCAACAAATATAAAATTCCAAGCTTTCCGCTGCCAAGATTAAATGGCCAAAGATTAATTCTTTCGCACAAACTTAGGTATTTAGGAATAATTCTCGACACAAAACTTAACTGGAAAGCCAACATCGACGAAAGAATTCGTAAAGCTTGTGTGGCATTCTATGCGTGTAAAAACATGTACGGTAAGAGCTGGGGATTGCAGCCCAAAGTGATTCTCTAGCTTTACACAGCCGTCGTTCGGCCAATATTAACATATGGATGTCTGGTGTAGTGGCCTTCGTTGAACAAATAGTACATTGTTCAAAGACTAACCAGAATGCAAAGATCTGCCTGTGTTGATGGACGTCCAGAACGAGGCAAATCTTCGATCACTTTTGAATGAGTTATACCACTCGTATGCCTGTGGTCGAGTCATAGAAGAGTCCCCGTAAGCTTTTTGCAATGCTTCAACACATAATATTTCGTTCGAAACACAAAATTTCAAACAAACTCGTTGTTCAACTGAATTTTAGTAAAATCGCTAAATGCACTTGAGGTAGTCTCACATTAACAGCTGCTATAAACAAACTAATTGACAGATGGATCTCAAATTTGTACCATATGTCAAGAAAGGGTGCACCAACATAACAAAAACATTTTTGAAAAAGGTCCATTACTTAAGGAGTAGTGAACAAAATCTTTTTGAGCAGAAGGTATTATCCATTATGTAATATCTTTAAAATATTACAATAGGGGTAATCAGGCAACAAATTAGCTGCTTAGAGATTATTACAACAAAACTTTGCATACAAAAAAGAAACTAAGCAGAGAATCTACTATTTTGGAAATTCTCAGATTAGTGAAAATTTGATTAATAGTGCTGCCAGCACCAAGTGTTGGCGCTATGAGCATAGGGTGTCTCAAAAAGAAAATTCAAAAATAATAACATAAATTAATAAATAAAATTCAGTAAAACTATAATTTTTAAAGGGATAAAATATAATAAAAAAGTATAAAATTGAATATTTTACTTCTTGATATATAATAAAACATGTTTGTAGTTTTAGTTATATGATAAATTATATGTATGATATGGTAAGATAAATTATATGATAAATTTAAATGATATTAAAATTTACGAATATTTGAGTATTTCACTGTTAACATATGTTTCGCTTTTGTTGTTTATACGAGTGCTTCCAATGCATTTGCACACAACAAACTAACTAGATTACGCATTTTGGATCGTTCAAGCAACAGATTAACATCAAAATGCTAATTTTTTTTTATATGAAGTTTTTAAACTACTAAGCAACTAATCTGTTGCCTAAATACCCCTAATATTAAAAATTGTAAATTTTTGGTTACCTGATTAAAATGTAACGTTATATCAATTTACTGCTCTTAATTAGCTAAATACTATAAAATATTTACCTATAATTGCGATTACTTGCTGCATATATAACAGGATTGATTACGCTGGATGCCCAAGCCATTACTGATGCTATTATATGTAGCCATGGATAAGAAGTGTTTCGCTCATCATCAATAACATTTGCCAACATCAGTGGTAGAAAACAAAACAAAAAGCAAGCAAATATTGTAATCATCATAACAGTAAGTCTATTGTCCTCCCGATTTTTTCTCATCATAGTTCTTAATGACTCTTTTGGCGGTAAATTAAAACTTCTATGTGTTTTTATTTTTCGCTTTTGTTGAAATACTGTTATATATATGCATGAATATGATAATATGATCACTAAGCAAGGTAATAAAAATCCAATTAGAAATAATGTTTTCTTTATGGATTTACCATTCTTTTTCAGAATTGTACACGAAAATGTTGATTTATCAAGACCGATTTCTCCCCAAATGCCTAAGATTGGTGGCAACTAAAAAAATAAATACACAAAATTTCGAATATATTTTGTTGGTAAATAGTGTTCGGGATATATTAAAAATAAATGTTGTGAAAGTACTTACTAGTAATATAAATGATACCACCCACACAAAAGTTATTTGTAATATCATAAATTTTGTTTTATATATATGCAAGTAAAGTTTGTGACAAGCTATAAGTATATATCTGCAAAGAAATAATGAATTTTTTTAATTACTGTTATGATATACTGTAGCGTGCATACACATATTGAACATAATTATCAAATCAAATTTGTGCAACTAGTGACGTTACATTTTCAAGCAATTTTAGTTTTTCGAATAATTTCAGTATTCGATTATCCACAAATTGTTGGAATAGTTTGTTATTTTTTGTGTGATTTGTGGTTTAGTGTGCGTTTGAAAGTACGTTTTAATTTTTATATTTATTTTATATGTACAAATAATACAAATTACGTTTTGTATTTTATCAAATTAAAAAACACAACCGATTCGTTTAATTCGTCTTGATTGAATATCATCATGATATAATAACTTAGCCTAAGTCTTAAGATCTAAGTATAACTTCCAGCTTCGCATTGTTTCACAAAAAATACATTAATACTTGGCTTGTAGGTGTCATTTCTAGCCTCTGTTCTACGGAATTCATGTTTACATTAAATTAGAAACGTTGCTTCCAATTGAGATTATATTAACATTATATTTATATATAACACCGTGGGAGTGTATGCTCTTTATTATATACTAGAGGTTTATTCGTTGGGTGTATCACTATGTCATTTACATATATTAAGAAATGAAAATTTAATGTTTTCGGTGATGTTTTCTTCTGCTTTTAAATAATTTAAAATATTTGGTTTTATAATAATTGTTATTTATACGTATATTAGTAATATTTTGGAAGGCGATTGTACATTTTTTTTTGTAACCACAAATATATGTACATATTGTAGGGAGTAATTACGAACTTCTTCGCGTTATTTATCACATTTATTACTGACTTATTCAACTTCTTTGTACTTGCTTGCAGCTATATTTGCTGCTTATAAAATAGCAAATACAAATACACTCTCATAAATCTATTTACAATCTCTTAAGTCTAATATCGCTTAAATCTAATTACAATAATACCTTTATAAATCTAATTACAATAATACTTATATTACTACAATATGTAAGTAATACACTGTACTGAGATCCATGTGCTGATTTTTTTATATGGGTATAAGAATTTATTTTCTTAAAAAGCATTAGGCTCTAATATGCAATTATTAAATTATATATATACTGCTACGTAAGTGCCTATTATACATATTCGTTCGATTCATTAGATTTTGTAAAATAATACACAATTCTTGGCTTCGATGTTTATATCCTTTTATTCAACAATGATATTTAGACAATTGTCTTTATTGAGGTCATTTATTCCAAACACACCTTTTCTCTAAAAAATTTTATTTATCTCCAATAAAAACTGACACTTATATTATTTTAACATTACTATTGCTCATATGATTTACCGAACAAACTAAGCTAATAATTATCTTTGGTTTTATTATTCCATGTGCGCACGTCAAATTTATAACACTGCTGCCCTGTTATTAAACTTGTTCGTCCCGAACAGGTATTACTATATCGCTGTGATAAGATGCCAGCCATTCCAAATGGATAACTTTCATTTTAACTCTGTGATGTCCTGTCGTTGCATACCATAAACATCATCATTAATTATGAAGCCACACCAGGTCTCCTTCCTGGAAGCCTTCTAAGTTCATTCTGTCACTGGTGACTAGAAGGCGTCTTTTGACGAATCGATCAATTTCATTTAATTGGTCCCGCTTACTTCCAGTGTAGTCACACGTTATCATTGGATAACGTTACTTATTCCGAATTTTAAGTCGGCTGCTGCTCTGACGTCGGTGCCAAAAACTGCTCTTGCTAGTGTAGTTGATGTAGAAACATGTCGTGCAGACCGATAGACAAGTAGCAACATTGGAATACAAATCTCGCAGTCTTTTTGATTTTTGTCAACCACTATCCTGAGGTACTCGTTTAATGTACGGTTGAATAGTTCAACCATACCATCTGATTGCGGATGCAGAGGCGTTGTACGAATTTAATGTATTCCCAGCAATCTGCAAACTTCCTTAAAGATTATTGACTCGTTTCGCCCTTGGTCAGTGCACAGGTCTATTGGAATTGGAAATCGCGTAACCCAATTGTTTAAGAAAACTTCAGCAATCTTGCTGGCTTCCTGATTTGCAATTAGACACACTTCTGGCCACTTACTGAAGTAGTCCATCACTATCAACAACAATCAACGTACGGGGAGCATTTATGAGATATATTTCTACGACGTGTTCTTTATTTTCGGCCCGTAAACAATGTTTAAACTGTGGGTTGCAAGGATGACGTGACAATGCATCAGGGTTTTAATGATGACTTCCTTTACTATGTTCAATAGTGATGTCATAACTTTTGGTCGTACAATCCATCGCGTCAGCTGACCTTCCGGGTCTTTAAACCGCAACAGCCAGCTAAATGCTGCATGGTCAGTTCTGAGAAGAAATTTCTGCCCATATAAGTACTTATGGAAATATTACACACCATGAATTCATATCGAAGTTCGCAGTCACCTATAGTGATTTATTTCGTGACTTTTTCCAGTATCGGTGCATCTTCACCCATTGCTGTTCGGAGTTTTACACCTGCCAATGGTGTACAATTTCTCGCCAGACCTTCTTTTATTATCAAATGTGAAGAACCAGAGTCCAAAATCAAAATAAACGGCTCATTGTTGATTATTCGATCGATGGTTCGTACTTTTGTTGTAGGGCGACACATAATACCAGCAGCTTCGTACGTCAATACACAAATTATTGTTTCAGAGTATGTCTGTCTGACCTGGCGCTTGGTGGTAATTTTCACGTATACTATCTATGAAAGTGATTTTACTCTTCTCCATAAAATCACCAGAGCTATCAATATATGCCAAATTATACAAACGTCCAATACGCTGGACTCTTGCTTTCAGTTTTACCCGGTGCAATGGAGTCATAAATTCGTTACCGTACTTGCGCTTTAATGCATCCGTTACAGCTTGGTAACATTTACCACAGACAAATAATACACAGATTACGAGTGCAGAACAAAAAAATGACTTTCATAATTTCATAGCAGCCAGTTCGAGTAGTCAGCTAAAAGCACATATGAGCTTTGGATTGTAGAACAAATAAGGCATACAAAAGCTGAATATAACGCAATGATCTTAAGTGTTTGAAACATACAAAAGAGCTCTTGAATGTGCGTATGAAGGGTGTGTTTGAGATTGTATAGAAATTTATGCTATATTTTTTATTCATATTGTTAGTTTGGGTACTTGTGTGATTTATCACTTATCACTTACTAAAAAATTTCGTATTCAAGAATAGGTGGGGCAATATTTCTGAAGTTTATGGTTTTGTATATATTTTACGTAAAATATATGATGGACTTTGTGTGCATGCAATGCACAAGTTCTTCTAAATTAGTATAAATTTGATTTTTGATGAAATTTTATATTGATCTCATACAAATATATGAGGTTTGCCGATTATGGATTGAATAAGCACCGGCAGTAGCGCAACCATAGTTGTTGTTAGTGTAAATGCTAATAATATGTTCGTTAATGAAGACAGTAGTATGCCCTAGGTATAGTAGCAAGAATATTATGAAGTATGTTATAGTAATAAATACCATGTTTAATATCTAATTATATTTTATATTTTTTATTATTTTATATATTAATTTTATATATATAATAAAATACATGCTAATGTTCTTATTATTATTAACTAAATAAGTAAAATTAAATTATTAACGAAATTTAATCAAATCATATAAAATAGATTGATCATATCAAATTTATAGTATTTAAATTTAACAACTAGCATTGAAAGAGAGCAATGTTTGTCTTTTTTGGTTTTTTGTTTTGGACATATGTTTATTTACATGTATTTAATAAAGTACGCGTCTCAAATAGCCTCTCTTGAGTTACCGTCAACCTCAACCTTCCCGTGGTGTTCTCTGTTTTCACTAATAAGGCAGTGGCGACCGAGTGTTCGGCGAGATATCTAAACTCTTCCATCTGCTGTCTAGAGGAAATGCTATCTGCACATTGACATCAAGGTAGGGTCGGATCAGGTCGGTGACCGAAGAAATTTTTGAAAGGTAGCAGCCCTACCACTGATCTTGGCGGTTATGGATTAATCACTCGTGGCGGCTGAAACACATCAGATTTAAATATTCACAAGAAATAGAAATCAGCCTAATCGCAACGATACCCACTTAAAGAATGTAAAAAGGACGAGATTTCGACAATGGAACGTGCTAACTCTGTTAGCCGCTGAATGCGATAAGTTTAAAAGAGACGTAATTGGCATAAGCGAAGCTAGATGGAATGGCACAGGCGAATTTACAAACCAAAAGGGGGTGTACTTATGTACTCCGGTATGCACGACGAACAGGACCCTCACATCCTAGGCGTTGCATTTTTTGTAAGGAAAATGTCAAGCACTCAATCTTGTTGGAAAGCTATATCCAAAAGAATAATAATAGTACGCTTTCGTGCAAAGAAGTTCAACATATCACTAGTACAATACTATGCTCTAACAGAAGACATTCTACTTTACCAAAAAGAAGTTTTTAACAGCGCGCTCGAAAGAACGCTCTCAGAAATTCCTAGAACCGATGTAATTATTCTTATGAGCGATTTCAATGTCCAAATTGATCCCATGGCATTGGAATATGTAATGAGAATGGTGAGCTGTTTTTGGAACTTTGTGTGAATTGTGATCTCAGGATTGGAGGATCCCTAATTGTTCATAAAACGTGTCACAAGGTCACTTGGAAGTCTGCCGCTGACAACTTTGAAAGTCAGATTGATCATATCATATCTACATTTCAAAACGATGGAGTAAAGTTCTATGTTATGTCAGAAACAAAAGAAGCGGTGATATCGGCAGTGGTCACAGTGACCACGCAGCAAATATGGCGTGTATTAACGTCAGTTTGCTGAAAGGTGCTTTTATTGAAGACACGTGGCTTCTTTTTAAAACAAATCTCGAAGGAATCTGCAAGGATATACTCGGCTACCGTAAAAACGAGCAAAAAGAATAGTTGTCGGCAAACTCCTAGGAGCTCATCGCA